CAAGTCTAAACACAATATCCATTTACATTTCATAATATAGCTTATACATATACTCTGAATGTCGTTTTATATACATTTTTAATATTTTTTTAACATAATACCATCATGTCTCCACCTACGATGTCATGTTTTGATTAAAAGTTAACAGTACACGTACGCCATTTGTATTTAATTTTTTACTATACAGGTATTAAGTTTTATGTAAGGTATAAAAACAAAGCATTGAATATGCCAGCAGCCATATCACCCTGCAACTCACAACTGGCAACCCACTGAAGCTAAGCAGGTGTGAGCCTGGTCAGTACCTGGATGGGAGACCTCCTGGGAAAAATCCCAGGGCCTTTCTCGTAAAGAGTAGGGGTGTCACCCTGGTGTCCTGGCTAAATTTCCAATTGGCCCTTACCAATCCCCATCTATGAATTGGCTCCCACTGATGTGTGGTGAGCGTTCTGGCACACTATGGCTGCCGTTGCATCATCCAGGTGGATGCTGCACATTGGTGGTGGTGGAGGGGAGTCCCCATTACCCGTAAAGCGCTTTGAGTGGAGTGTCCAGAAAAGCGCTATATAAGTGTAAGCAATTATTATATGATTACAGGTAAATGAAATGAAAACTGAAAAAAGTAATGTACAAGTAATGCTAGGCAAGTTACACTCATACATGGAAGTGAAATTCTAACGTAAAAATAATGTTTTGTACTTACTGTACAAAAAAACAAAACAAAACATGATGATCACTGCTTACAAACTTGAAGAATAATGCAGCCCCAGACATTACAACTACATCAGGTCCGAGAAACCGAGGGTACATCATCGATGACATCACTGTGAGCTGGAAAGTTTCGGATTTTGGAGGTTTTCCGATTTTGGAATTTCGGATAAAGGATTTTCAACCTGTAATATGTTGAGTAAATACAGTATATTAAACATCTTTAAAATGTCTTTATACAGTGTTATTAAGAATTGTCCATGCCACATGATCTCAGGGTGTTTCACAATTAAACAAGGCAAAAGCAAAAAACATTAGAAACACATGAATGCACAATTTAGCACAAGTAATATTTACATAAAAAGGAAAGGTTTTAGAAAAGGATTTGAAAATGCTGACCAACTTGGAAAATATGTTAATATGTGCTGTGAGATCACTCTATAATCTCAGAGCAAAAAAAAAGAAAGGACAATCTCCTGAGATTTAGAGCCTATTCCAAAGTCCATAGAGTGCAAAGGATATGTAGGCGTACAGGGAGACAAAAGTTCACTGATGTAATCAAGAGCCAAACCATTTAAGCCCTTAAAGGTGAGCAACAATATTTTGAATTTTCTTCTGCAATCTACAAGAAGCCAGTGCAAGGAAGCTAAAATAGAACAGATACACTCATTTACTGTATTTAAATTTGAGCTAAGATCTGAGCAACTGGGTCGTGAACATGTTGGTGTTTAGCTTCCTCCATGTTTAAAAAGGGTTGTTATTTAAATGTATCTCTATTTTTGGCTTGGTTGTAGGTAGAATGTGGTATACAAAAGATGCAACATACTGTAGTTTGCAGTATACTTTATTTTAAACATTGTAAATAATGTGAGATGATTGTTTTGGTAATACTCAACACTAGTAGCACTTTAAATGGCATTAGTTTCAGATGTGTTCTGCATTCAGCCCTGATTGAACCAGACTCCTTTGTACCCTTTGTCTCATACTGTAACATTAAGAAGTGTTCACCCTCTTTCAATTATGTCCATGGAGCATAGAAGAATGCAGGTAATATTTCTTATTAAAACGTTTAACTGACTAGAAATGTCTTTCTGAAAAAAAAACATTACTTTCCACTGAAGACTAAGCTACATTTTAGTTTCAAACCCAGGAGACATATAGAATTTCCAGTGAAAAACTAGAAGAACTACAAGACTAGAAACTAATAAATGCTAGTACAGAATAACTGAATTCATATAAACATTTTTGGTTGTCTTTGTGCTTTCTTCTCAAATTTGTGTTCTTAGATGTTATATGAATTTTTAGGTACTAAGGCTCTCTTCATACAGAAATGCTGGCACAGAATCGTGTCAGATTTTTTTTTAATTCTTCAAAAAAACATTCATACAGCACATTTATCCCATTATTGAGCTGTCATAATTCTTTCACACAGACAGAGGTAGCCTATCACAAAAGATTCTGCCAATCAACAGGTCATTGTCGTGGCAATGCGTGCAAGAAAATTGAACCATCCTTGACTAAGGAACCAGGTGTTGCAGCATTTTAGTATTTTTATTTTCAATATATATTTCAAAAATATAATCAGTGTCAGATTGCAGGGGGGACGGGAAAGATGTAGATTTTGAATTTTATAGTAAAAAAGACTATGATGCTGAGTAGAGAATGCATTATGTTGCATAAAATGAAGAAAATTCACGCTTATGTGAAGTACTCTCACATATTTCCTCTGTACTTCCTCGCAACCTCTCTTGTAAAGTTACATACAGATGTTACTGAACAAATTACATTTACTGTTTTGCTTTAGAATCCGAATATCCATTTACACGCTACTGTGATTAGTTAATGTATCTCTGAACACTGAGGTTTGAACTGTGAAAAAATGTGTCAACTGTGCATTTATTTATGTATATGCAATTTACATGGTACATTATGCTGCCTAAGAGGTTACTTGTAAGTGTTGTGTAAGAACCTAGGAATATTAAATAACTCAGATTCAAAAATTCCTTTTACATGTAAATGATGAAGTACAGTTTGAACTTATCATGAAATAAATTAAAAATTTGAAAATATGTAGTAACGTCCTTTTTTTTCTTTGCAGATGCTTGAAGCAAACATATATTAGGGTCTGAGTCTGCAGGTCATTTTTCACTAATCTCCAGGAAATTTGATTTTTTTTTATTTTTATGGGCCAAATGGATGAAATGATTATGCTTCATTAGATGATTGATCCTAATCCTATTACTGTACAACCATTCAAAAATAAGTTTTCTGTTCAGAGGAGATATTATGCAGCAGAAGGAGAAGGTCAGTCACTACACAGGCCCATTTTCATAATGAGGTTTTTGATTGTGCAGCCTGTCAGAATCATGGAGAATCCTTCATTGCTGGAAGCTTTTAATCATTGTAAAACCAAAGTACTTGATTCATTCATTCTCAGTAATCATGGGCTAAGCTTCTTTCATCAGGTCTCGTGGATGGAGAAATCATATAAAATATTATTTAACACATTTGCAGTGTTCACACAACCCATTCCTTGGTGAGAATGTGGAAAAGGTATACTCAATGCTAGGCATAAAAAGCAACAGTGTAGTCGGTGTGATGGGTCATCCCGAAATAATCTATTTCTAAAATGTTGCAATAAATTGTAATTTGTTGTTTAGTAAGTTGATTTGTGCAGTTAGGGGAGGAGTAACAAACTTTAAGATTTGCAGAGTGGATTGATATTATAAAATGTCATAGAAACTGGTCTGAAATATTCTGTTGGCAGAAACAATTCATTGGTGAGGCATGAATTCAAGGCAGAACCTAAGAATAGAATTGCCGTCAACTTCACATTTTTCTTTTTTTCCACCGTTTCGAAGCCACTGCACGAAGGATGTGTGTGTACAGTAGCTCGCACACCTCTGTCAAGTTCTATAAAAAAGGCCAATGGTAAAATGACGTGACTAATAGAGTAAAACAAAGTTTGAATGTTCCAGTGACATTATTATCATTCATTTTTTAGTTGTTATAAATAAAAATTGTTGTTCCTAACAAACAGCTACAGTGTCATTTCACAATCTTTAATAATTCCATTCCATTTTAATTTTACAGGACGATGCCTGCAATATCACAGCATTGCACAAACTTAATGATACTTTTTGTATTTCTTATAAGGAACCTTTGCATCAAGAAAATGCATTTAGTGAATCCTCTGTTGTCACTGCTTGAATGGTAACAATTTTGCTCTTGGTGTTTACAGTACATCCATTTGGTTTTATGGTGTCCAAAAATGAACTTTCTTAATCAAAGTAAAAGTTATAAAGAATTTTATAAACGTAGACATATTTTGTTCTCCTGTTTAAGTTATTATAGCTTCTCTGGAGGTTTTTCTCAAGATTATATTCTTTACATAATCAAACAACTTTGGGATTAATAATGTTTTGGTAACAGTGATTAAAAGTATGTCATTCAGATATTGTTATCCAACAAATAGTTCCCTGAGATATTAGTTTAGGTTAGAATAGAGTTTATTGTCATATGCACAAGTGCAATGAAATTCTTATTTGCATTTATATAATATACAGATCTGTAATACTAAGGGATTTAATAATAATGTAGAAGCCATAATGGAATATAGGTGCAGGCAGTTTTATCATTTTAGAGTGTTACTTTAATTTGAAGCCCTAAACATATTTTTATTTCCAACTTTTATACATCACAGTAGATATCTGAGGGGTCCCAGATATCAAACAACATAAAATAATTACATGTGATTTCTCACATGAATAAATTGAGACAGTAATGTGTCTACCAGCTAAATGTTTAGACCTGTTTGTTCATTTTCTCGGTGTTGTTTGTTTAGACGCCTTTAGGCCTTCTTTGCTTATGAAGCTTTAATTGTTACTTAAAGATAAAACTAACACATAAAGATGATGTAATTAGGTTAATCATTTAACAATTTTTTGTAACTATGATGTTCAGTGTATTTATAACTCCTCTGTGGGATGTAATCTTCATTTTTCCTTTGCACTTTATTGATGTTTAGTTACTATAGAAGAAATTGTGTCATTGCAGAAAATGCTCCAACATTTGCTTTCCAAATAGACGGGGGAAGGTTAGTTCCTTCACTAACATGTAAATATCTGGGACAGTTTCTCTTTTCCAAATTTTCAGTATCTGTTTAACAATTATTTCCTTTGCAGTTCTTTAAGGTACCTTTTTTGTGATACTGCTGATTTGTTTTACTAAAAGATCTACTGGGCAGCTTTTAATTTTGTTCTAATTTTTTTACTTCTTTTGGCTGATAAAAGACATTGATGAATGTGCAGATGGCTTTGTGGAGTGTGACAGCCGAGCTAATTGCATCAATCTTCCTGGGTGGTACCACTGTGAGTGCAGGGATGGATACCATGATAATGGGATGTTTTTGGCCAATGGGGAGTCATGTGAAGGTTGGTTTGCTGCCTTTTTTTTATAAACAACCATTGCTCCAGCTGGATCTCAGAGTAATCAATATTGTTAGCTGCATTCAACCTAGAAGTGCTGAGCAAAACCACTGCAGGAGGCACAGAGGAGTAGAGGGGTGCAAAGGTTTTGGACGTGTCATTTTGTATTGTGTATTTCTGTCATGTTCCTTAAATGATAAATAAGTGTAGTTATCCTGTTTTTAATTATTTTTCTAAATAGGTTCCTGCTATACTCACGAACGATTATATTATTTATAAATGTATAAAAGTCAGTAATAAAGATTGTAAACAGGGTAATAGTATAAAGTTATATTGTCATAAAGTCTTCAGTCAGATTGTAAGTGTGATAGGTATCATGCAAACACTTCCATAAAGTACACAATTGTGTCTGGGTATTTCAATTATTCATACATCAAGAGAAAATGCCTTATGGTGAAATTCATAATCCACCATTTATTTGCAGCTTGACTATGCAATGTTGACAGACACCAGTATTCCCAAGGTATTTGACCAAGAGCTTACTTATGCAAATGTGATGCATTCATATATATTTTACTCATTGTTACACACGTTTATAGATGTTCAAAAAAATTTGAAGGAGGATTAGACAGCAAGACACTGAAAAAGGCTGTCAAGTTTCAGAATCAGGCAAGCCTTCAATCTCCCGCTGCACAGAATGTCAATTTCAGTCCTGCTGCTATCTCCACTATTAAATTTGTTGATCTACTTTGCTTCACCCTTGTCATGGGTGTGAGATCAAGCAACAGTAAAAAAGCATATTCCTGGTTTGAAGAAAATAGTTGCTAGATGTTAAATGCTTCAAATGCAATGCACATGTCTAGCAGATGGATGAACATTTTCCTGTTGCCTTTTGAAAGAGCAATAATAACAAATGGATGTATTTATTTTTGATATAATGTATATTTGTGACACACTCCAAGTGCTTTGAGGAACAGATGTGGCTAGTGGTACCTTGAATGTTTAGACATGTTATATTTAATTTGCCACATATTATACAAATTAAAATCCATCCCAAAAAAAGAGATTTAAAATATAATGTTTGAATAACAAGTTCCTCGTAATCTACTGGGGACACGGGAGAAAGGAAGACGTTATTTTCTAACCTCATAATTTTAAAATGTAGGGCAGTTTGCTCTGGACTGTACTGTTTTAGGAAACTGGCATTTTGTTTGTAGTTAAAAATATGTATTTTTCATTTTGAACACTTTTTTTTCTACAGACATTGATGAATGTGGAACAGGGAGAAACACGTGTGCCAATGACACAGTTTGCTTTAACTTAGAAGGAGGCTATGACTGCAGGTGTCCTCATGGGAAAAACTGTACAGGGGACTGCATCCATGAAAACAAAGTCAAACATAATGGCCAGATCTGGGTCTTAGAAAATGACCGGTGTTCCGTTTGTTCATGCCAGGTGAGTAACAACAGAAAAATTGTGGTTGTGTGCTTCTTCTTTTGAATAAAAAAGACAGAATTATAAAAGATAAGTAATGTCCCATATAGAACAGAGACTGGCATCAATATGATGGTTAAAAGCTTTCCAAATGGCTTTAGATGTAGAACTTCTTTCACAAAATTTTACACTTATTTTAAAAAGTAAATTTTTGCATTTCAATGCTGCTTGAGCAGATATAATACCTTGGGAGATTTTTACATTGGTAATGTTTTTTTTTTCTGTGGTGCTTCATATGCAGTATACAGTAAACTATCTGTACAGTATTTACTGTATATACAGATAGCACTTAGGGAAAGGAAATCACAAGAAGTACTTAAGGGGGCAACTGGAGAAGTAGTGTAGGTGTCTGACTGTGAATTCATATCTGTTTGGCTATGCACTCAAAACCTGTATGGAGCATTACTACTGTACCCTTGAGCAAGGTACTTTACTCAGATTGCTTCAATAAAATACAAAGCTCTATAAATTGCTACAACTGTAAATCAGTTTGGATATAAGCATCAGCCTTCATTAAAGAACATTAATTTTGTTATGCAAATTGTATTGATGGACAAGCATGTAATACTAGAACAAATACTCAGTAAGAGGACTTTGGGCACTGTATTTTTGGTACTTTTCTAGAATTCCTTACACACCCCCTTCTTCACTAAAGGTATCAAAAGACTACAGGTACCAGAAAAAAATTGGACAATGGCAAGCACTTCAGTGCAAAAGTCTTTAAATAAAACATAACACAGACAAAGAAACATATAAAACTAATATCTTCATTACTTTTAAAATAATAATAAATATAAAAAGAAGATATAAAAATATATTTTTCAACTTCTAATATGCTGTGTTTATTGTTAAAATATACCAGGGGGAATACTTCTAACATTAAAATTATTCAGAAAGGGCAAATATAAATTATTTATACAATTTTGATGGTCTCCAAACATCAGAGTGAACACTGAAGGTTGACAATGCTATTACAGCTCAGTAAAGTCTATTGGTGCAACCATGAATCGGGTTCCAAAAAGTCAATCTGTTTGAGAATTTGAGACATAAAACAAGAGCAGTACTTCTACAACACTTATAAGTGAGAATGCAGTACAACAAAATAAATGGACATGCCAGAGTGATTTATGAGCCGGTGCCTGCTGTGATATAAATATCGTTTCAGTGGTTTGTTGAGGCAAGAGAGACGATACAGATTTGTTTACTTACAATTTGTAGTCAGGAAACGTATATTTGAGAATTAAATATTTAGAGAATTTGGAATTTGGCTACTGAAAGCTTTATTTATGTGCATATTTATGGTTTTATGGGGTGTTCTTCAGTGCTGTCTGGTAGGTTAAACCACTGGGCTTTTGTTTCTTTCTAGAGTGGTTTAGTCATGTGCCGGCGGATGGTGTGCGACTGCGAGAATCCAACCGTTGACCTCTTCTGTTGCCCTGAATGTGATCCTCGTCTGAGCAGCCAGTGTCTCCATCAGAATGGAGTCTTGGCCTATGGCAGTGGAGATACTTGGGTGCAAAACTGTCAGCAGTGCCAATGCTTGGTAAGACAAAGGACTTGCAAGTCAGTGGCATAATGGAGCTGACTGTAGATGAGTGTGTTTCAAGGGGATAAAAGTACCTTTGTTTCAACACAGTAGTATTGTAGTGTACCCAGATCAGAAAAAAAAATACTGGAGTTCCATTTGAAAACATGTGAACAAATGATACAGTTTTCTCTTTATATTAATAACACTGTTTTTAAGATTTCAGCATCCCTGCTGCTTAATCAGCAAGTTATGAGGATTTGCAACGCACAGAACATAGCATAAACTAAATCCAAGTTACCTTTCAAATATTCCTGGCACAATTTCTGATGGCTGTTTTATATCATACAAAGCAATAATTTATTGCCCATCTACAAAGCTTTTCTTGTCTGTTACATTTAAATAATCGGTATCAAACAGCTTTTCTACTTATCCCCTGACATTTAACCTGTTTTTTTCAAACAAGATAACAAGATATAGATTAGAAATAGCATTGAAATACAGTAGTTCTACCCTTTCATATCCCCAAACAGAATCAAAGAATTTAAAAGGCTAAAAAGTGGATTATCCCCAGAAGTCTGCTTGTTCGGCAGCAGTTTTTCTGTGATTTAATTAAATTCACTCAGGATCAATTTTTTTAATAAAATAAAAAAGGCTCAAGGACTTGGATATGTATTGCATTGTCTTTGTTATACAGAAAAAGAAGAAAGATTTCTTGCACATGTTCTCAATAGAATAAATACAAATGTCCATGTCAGGCTCTCAGAGGTATGCTGGTGCTGTACAGTATGTGAAAGAAAGATTTAAAGGCTAATGGTATTTTACTTGGCTCCTTAGAGAAAGGGTAAGAACTAGCATTTCTGAAAGATGTGAAATAATCTTTAGACAAAAATTACTTGCTGGGCAAGATTAAGTTTCTTATATCCTTTTAAATTAAGTAGGAATTGCTACAATATAGATAATATGTTGTGAAGCGCTGTTAATTTGTGTTGTGGCTAAACGTAAACAGGAAATGTCTTATGCTAATGGCTATGCTTATTTTGTGCTGTGCTCACTGAAGCTCAGCCCCAGCAATTCTCAATTTGAGACCATCCACCCACCAGGACCAGTAAGCACTGTCAACTGCTCATAACATGAAAAATGTAACATGTGTTTACCAATAAAAAATGAACTTAAAATAGACTTAAAGCATAAGAAACAGAACAGAATGTGGAGCCTTGTGATTTGCAACTCTGCTGAAGAGCAACATTGACTACAATGGGTGAAGCTTATATGAGGAGCAGGAGACAGCTGTCATATTCTTTGAAAAACACATCTTGAATTTCTTTAGAAGAAGCTTTAAAAATACTTCTAGTGTAGATTAGACTTTCTTAATTGTGAATTTGCAAACCTGTTTATTAAACAAATGACCAAAATGCAGTCAAATATACTGTTTTTTCAAGTAAAACTACCCATACAATTTCTGATCTTAATCTGTGTTGAAACTTGTTGTAATCTGTGCTGTAACCTTGTTTTAAAACAAAATGTATTTTTTAACATGGTTAACCAGGGGCTAGACATGGAATTCGATCATAGTCACTCATGGGCTCAGAGCCACACAGAACCATTAACGGTTGCAGCAAAATTATACACTGCCTAGGTTTCAAGAGGGTGATGTAACTTCTTTAAAATGTTCATTGCACTAAGCTCTGTTACAGTACATATACAGCAGAGACTAGTGGGAGATCATACAGTTAGTTTGTCAGTCATACAGTCAGATAGTGAAAGCCTAGCAACAGGTCCATTAGGTTGAAAATGATTCACAAATTAAGCAGACCTAAAATCATATTGTTAAACTGTTTGAAATAACTAATTCAAAGTTGTTGTTTTTAAGATACCTTGTTAGCAGGTTATCTACAGTGTGTGCTTAAACGTCTGATACATTACTGTACATTGATGATGCACATGCCATGGTTAATCACTCTGATGCCTACATTACCTTATCACATAAACTCTGGAACTTACAGTATATACAGTATATAGCCATTGTTTAATGGTGATATGTACATCACCGTTGTATATGGTAATATACAAATTAAACAATGGGTAAAGGCATTCAGCATTTTAGACCCTAAATTATACAACTAGACGATTATGAAGGAATGAGATGGTGCAGTTGGAGGCAAGAAACAGTCAAAACCTGAACAATCTACTCACAGAAATAAGGAGCTCAGAAAAACAAATGCCAACAATTAAACAGAATCGTCCTTGAGTATGCTTTAGTGCTAGAATTCAACAAAAATATCCTGAAATGTTTATACATGACACTGTGAGAAGGTTAATAAAATTTAAATGTATTATATTCACATCTTTGTAATTCTCTTAGAAGCACTTGTTATATTTCTTGTAGAGAAATCTTGACCTACTATAGTAAGGGTTATGTTTGAAAAGGACTCAGTATAGTGTACAATGAATGAATGTATCTGTACATTTGTCGGGAGCTTAACTTATCCTAAAATTATGGTTATTACTTTCTATAAATGTATTAAAAAAGTGTAAAATAAATAAAAAAGATACCTTGAGGTATGAAATTGGATTTGGACTGTTCCAAGCTATTGTGTAATCACACTAACATTTTACTATATGCAAAAAAATTAAAAATTAAAAATAAATGATTAAAAATTAATCAACATGCAATCAAAAACTTAAGTAAGTTAGAATAGGGTGTACAATATAGTGATGATAGCTACCATAATGTTATTTTTTAGAATTTGCAAAACAAATAAGATAAAATACTAATATTTGCATTCAGTCATGGTTATCTAATTTTTTTTTTTGTCAGATATACGGTAGGCTTTCACAGCCAGGGGAATGTTTTTTCTTATTCTGTATTCTAGATTTCCTCTTAGTATTAATTATAATCATACTAGTTGTTTTCATTAGTGTGTATCTGTCACAGGGCTCATTTGTTATGAACCTTTTACAGTGGCATAACACTCTAGAGTTGGATCAGCGCTACAAACTCTTTTTGTCTTAGCACATTTATTCACTGGCTTCTAAGTGTGCAGCTTTAGAGGCAGGGAAATGTCTGAGAGTTTTCGAATGAAAGGACAGATCTCACATAATATGCATTTCTGGTAAAAACAATTCTAATAAACCATGTTATTTAAGGTATACAGTGTGGATACAGTAAATCAGAATCTCGCTTTTTAATTCAGTGGTGCCAGACATACCAAGCCTAGAAATTTGATAAAAAGTACACACAACTACACAAATGTATAATAATTTACACATTTAAATGTATTACTACAATTAATATGTAAAGATGATTGACTGGAACCCTGTGAGTCTACCAATGTTGAGACAGTGTTGGTAACTGTATCCTACAGCCACTGTATATTATAATTTCCTTATTAATCCAATAATACACAAAACCTTGACGCAAGGGCTGAAGTTTTGTTATTATTTCTTATTATGTAAGATATAATGGTTATTATATAAAACAACACTTTACAGTTACAGTTAGTATAACGAGATATAGTACCTCACTATCAATTCTCAATCAGGATTAGGCCCAATGCTAAAAGATAGCTGCTTCAAGATGTTTCCTAGTTTTGTCTGAAAACAAATCTCTTCAGAAACAATTACTGTAGTAGACAGTTTCATTTTTTTGTCCTGTGGAAGATCGAAATGTTGTCTTTACTGTTGTTCCACAGTCAGTATTATACAAATACCAGTCATACCATAATACAACCCAAGTACATCTAACTTCAGTCTAACTGAAAATATAAGTTTTCTCAAATATATTCCATAATTCACAAATTTCTTAGCAAGCACAATCATAGTTTTAAATTGTATTTAATTTTTACGATTTGTGTTTGGCAGCTGTGTGTCTTCTCCAGGAGACAATACAAGAATAAAAAATATTAACAAATTTAAGGTTATGCTTTACTAATTCAAAAGAATATCAAGTTTTTTAAAGATGATATTACCATCTATAGCTTTATTGATGTACTCTATAAAATCAAATTTAAGGTGATATAAGATTTAAGGTGTTTATTTTTGGAAAGATTAGTAAGATGAAACAGAAGCACTGAGTGCAATTCTGTCAATTAACCTAGAAATGCATTACATCATCTGGTCAGATGGTCAAAAAACAGATATTTGACATTCACCTTATTTTCTCTTTTTTATGATGAAATATGCTGTTTCTGTCACAGCAAGGAGAAGTGGACTGCTGGCCACTTTCCTGCCCTGTTATCGAATGCGAATTTACTGTGATTCCTGAAGGAGAGTGCTGCCCACGGTGTGTCACTGACCCCTGCCAGGCAGACACCATACGAAATGACATCACCAAGACTTGCACCGATGAGCACAATATTGTCCGCTTCACTGGGTCTTCATGGATTAAACATGGCACAGAGTGCACACTCTGTCAGTGCAAGGTAAGGAAAAAATCCATATCTTTAACCTGTGCATGCCTGAGGGTAAATCATACAGAGGGACATAAAGAGATAACATATCACTAGATTTTTATTTGTTAAGTAGTAATAGTAATTAGCAACTATTTAAAAAATTACCTTTCTATATGGCAAGTAATGATTAAAATGTCCAGTTTGTTTTTTTCTTTTTTTAAATGTTTTTTTCTATAAATTTATTTTTTAAGCAGACTGGTTTTATAAAAACAATTATTCATTAAAAAATGCAATTATTCATAAAAAGGACACTTTCAGTGTGCACTAGATTGAAGACATTAAACTGCATCATGCTGTGATTGTTGATTGCCAATTAATATTCAATGATATACCATATTTTTGTAATATATCTTTCAAAGGAAAGCCAAACAAAAATAAATGTAATTTTTTTTAATTGAAGTAGTATGATTTTTCATATATCTTTATTATTGTATTATTTTGTCTCGTTAAGATTTTGTATAGCCATTACTGCATCAGTAAATAGCAAAATGTGCTTAGGAAAAATGGCACACATAGCCATTTAGAACATGCCTGTGAGTCAACTGTGTGTCATGTTTCTTTATTTTTCTAAAAATCTGATGTAGGACTGCATTACTCTTTAAAACTGCCAAATGGCACCTGAATCCTTAAAGTACTTCAACTGCGTGAGCTGGACAAATTGCTGTAGCATTAAGTGTTCATTAATCCATTAGTACTTTCCTGCACTACTCATTCTGTATATACTGTACTAATTCACCAACAATTTCATTAAATATAATGATTACACTGTTGAGACGGGATGTTTTTACCACATTGCTACTACCTCCAAATAAGATACCATGTCACAATACTGTATACTACTAATATCCCTTTTAGTTGCAAACAGTAGACATCATTATTTGTAATCGTGTACAGTATAAAAAGTAATTAGAAAACAGAACAGAATATATCGACATACTTCCTTGAAAAACATATCATATTTAAAAACAAATAAATAGTTAAAAAGAGGGCAGATTAAAATAAAAGTTTTGATATGTGATTTCAATGACTTTGTCACATGCTGTTAGTTACACTGTATTTAGAACAATATATTTAAATAGTTAATATTGCAATATGCAGGTTGACGTATAGTCAACCTCTCAAATCACACAAATATTTGATATAATTGTAATGATCACTTACTAAATAGTGGTATAAGTAATGAAAGCAATGCACAAGAAATATGCTAATACTGTGGTGGAGGTCCAATATGCATATCAGTGGATAATATTTCACAGAATTCTTTAATGTGTGTGACAACAGCCAAAAATCAAACGATGCACTGCAATCAATTAATGGCTGCCCAGCTCAAGGAAGTGTTTCATACTGTTTTGTATCACCATTTGTACTGGGGAGGTATCAATTATTAAACTGAGAAGATTATTTTTTAATTAAAATTCATAAGATGTCTAAGTACAATGTGACAATGGTCTTAAACTGACAGCAGACTGCAAGATGGTCTTAAAAAGACAGTGGAATACCCTGGTATATGGCACAGCACAAATGCACACTCATAACGAGGAGCTAGGAAGTGGGAGAGAGAACACGAACAATATAAACTCCACTTAGACAGTCACAGTGTTTGAAAATAGCTTTTGATTTGTTTCTCTCTAGCTGTCTTAGCAGTTATTTTATTGACAATCAGTTTCATTTTCTATTACACCTCAAAGTGGTATTATAAAGGGGTGGAGCGGTGGCTCTGTGGCTCTCTGGCTAAGGATCTGTACCTGTGACTGGAAGGTTGCTGGTTCAAATCGCACTGGGGTATGTGAAAAAAGACGAATTCCTAATGCAAGGAATTGTATAGGGCTAATAAAGCAACATTATATTATATTATTATTACATTAAAGATATTAAAAATCTATGATTTTATACTGTATATAAAGGATAAAACAACATGGCTTTTATGAAGTATTTAAATTTTAGTTAGAACAAGCATCTAAAACCTTTTCCAAAATAACCACCGTAAGTTACCGAGTTACAGTCTTTGATTCATAAAATGTTTATGAAGACGGGGAATATTATGTCCTTTTTTATATTTAGCTTCCACTACCATCTACTGTACGTACATTAGGTACATATTATGTATGATACCATATGGCTTTAAAGCCACTACAGTAGATATGTGTGACATATATTTTTTATAATCAAAATTGAAATTTGTTTCCTTATCACTTGTTGCTGAAATTTGCATTAAGACTAAATATAGATTACCTCAATACAGATGTAAACCTGAAAGAGGCACAACACTTTCACAACAAGCTAGATAATAAACTTATTATTTTTATATATCTGAGTAATTTTGTTTTTGTAAAAAAAACTATTTTCTTTTTAAATCAATTTAATATGTACATACTGTAATGCACAGTTTAAAATTAATAAAAGTCTAAACAGTATACAACTTAAATTCTATCATAGGAAAAAATACTGTCCGTCAGCATGGACTGGGATTCGAAACCTGGCGTTTTCTGGTGACAGCCCAAATTCTTCCATTTTAAGCATTCACTGCTCCACCTGGTGGTTTTACTAAGTAGTGCAGTCCCACAACAGAATATTTTTTAAAATGCGTAGTACACTGTGGTGCCTCAAGGTGTGTGCAGCGCAATGTACCACATTATCTGGTATGCATTCTGATTTGTAATCGCATATATACAGGAAGGTAAGGTTTCTAAAATGCAATTAGGTCATAAATATTGTTTAAATAACAGTTGTAATTTTTTTCAAAAATCATATTGTTTCAAGTTCCAGCAGTTTGAAGACTGTCGTTTTTTTTAACAAAGTTATTGAAATACGAAAAATAAATAGGCATTAAAAATGATAAAGAACAAGCTTTGAAAAAATGTTCACAAATCTTAACAAAAAGATGTAACTGATGTTTTCAAAAAATGAAAATTGAGCAAATTTTGAGCTTAAAGCTAACTTTTGCCTTGGTGTCATAATTAGAGCATGTTAAAACTTTCAAAAAAAACACAGCAAGTGTCAGAGTTAAAGAATTCAATGTAGATTTCTTTTTATATAGAAGGTGGAATACTGTTCTGTACCTTTTTTTTATTTTCAGCTACAACTACCAGCTATTTATATCTTGATGGCCTCTCTAACTAGTACTCTTTTCACCCCTAAAAAGTTGATTTTTGAGGACATCCTGTTTTTCAGTGTTCTACAGTTGTGCCATATTTTCTATTTCTTTATAAAATTTTACAATATTTAATCAAATTGTCATATTTCTTTATATTGGACTTTACTGTGCTTTGGGGGATATGTAATGTAAGGTTCTTATACTCTGCCTCTAACTGGAGCTTTTCAGTAACCCTAACCCAGATTTACTTTGTAAGTTCCTTTGTCTATATGATATAGGTTTTATTGGAAACTGTACTGATCAAGTGTGGGACCTCCCCAAATATAGGTATATTTGTCCAGAACCCATGTGAAACACCCTAATTGCACTCAGGTAAACTCCATTCAACACATTATGTAATTTCTACAGACATTTGGTTAAACCAGAGCCTATTTAGGTGTGTCAAAATAGAAGGGATTGAGTACTTATACTATCAATTATTTTCTGTTTTATCTTTAGAATTATTTTAGAAGGATCTGTAGAATTTTGTTTACAATGTTTACAATTTGATATTATAGAGTGATTTGTGTTGATAAACTGCGAAACAATCCATAATAAATACATTGTGACTCTATATTGTAACAGCAAAATGTGAAAAAGTCCAAGGTGGAATGAATACGTTTGATAGCCAAAAAGAATTCTTTAGAATTCTAAAGAATTAAATAATTGGTATAGAAGTAATATATTTGGAGAAATGGAAAGACATTGCTTTGACAAAAATCAACTAAAACCATGACCCTCATCAGGACAAGAGAACCGAATATGGAACGATACATCCTATTGCTTGACTATCAGAACCTCAGGGCTCATGGTGCCTGTAATGATGGAGCTATAAGGGTTTCCTTCCACCCCAGCACTAGCTAGAATGAGACAAGGAGATGGTGTCAGGGGGGTCATAGGGAGGAAGCAGGGATGGAAAACAATGACCACTTTGTGAAAGCAGTGTTAATTACATGCATGTATGTCTAGCTGTATGTGAAAGGGTGCTACCCTCCATTTGTGTGTTACATTTATAATGTCCAATTAATTTGCCAACATGTTAACTACCACTTTATGGGAAGAATGGGCATTCAATACATTTAGAAAATAGGTCATTGTTTGTGTGTAACTGTATACCAGGGGAATAACAGAGCTCAATCCTATAGATTTTGTCCAGTACTGGAGGTTCTTGTTGTGCAGGGACCTGTTTAATTTTAACCAATTTAATTTTAACCAATTAAAATTAATTGGTTACAAAGTTGTAGTTTGCAGTTTTTTTTTACTTTTTTGTAGTTCATTTTATGAAATTTATAGTGGCTTGCATCTCTACATCTCCAATTTTAGCAAATTTTAGATTGTTGTATTTGACATGTTTTTGTGTTTAAGGGTAACAGATAAAAGATATTAAAAATCTTGTTTTAAATGCATTTTGTACTCTGAAGTGAACACACTCAGACATAAAAATATCTTCATGCATTTATTGAAGGTCATGTAATGAAAATGTTGAGCCACTCTTACTAAAATGGATCTTACCTATTTTAGTCTCCCTGAGGGTTTTTATTCATTATAATCTTTCCTCATTTAAACAAGCATCCAGTGACAGAAAAAAAACGTATCTGAATTGTCATTGTAATTCTTAGTCTGGAGCACAAGAGTGTTTATCATGTTCAGTCAGGAAGTGCAAAAATCACAAATGCACAGGTGAATTTGTACAAATTGTGTGGTTGTGATTACAGAAATGAAAGTACCAAACTGAATTAACCAGAATCCAATAAATCCCGTTGCTTCATGATATCCAGCAGATGACATTAAAATACTGAAGGTTGAGATCTCTTGCATGTACTGCGCCTTGCATACGTATTCAGACTCTTCCTATGGTGTCCCATTTTGTGAAACTACAAAATGATGCACACACATTTTTAAGCTTAATATTTATTTAAAACCTGAATAAATAAACTGAATTCTCCTAAGAGTTTGATTTATACGACTTTATATGCATAGTGTTGTTTTTTATGGTTGAATCTTTGCCTGAAATTCACTACCTGACTTAGGAACCTTACAGAGACCAGGGGTATTTATTATGAAATCAACTGTTATGTGTTACTGTGCAAAAATAGATGCCACACAACCAATCATGTGGCCCTTTAAGGTGATTTTGTGCATCTAAATTAATTTAGGTTTGCCACAGGAAAGGCATGGAGATCTTATTTTTCTGTTTTTTGTTCATATTATGTACAGTATTTACATTTTTCTTTGAATTTGTGAAACATGTGTATAACATATTAATTACTGTTTCAAAGGGTCTTGACAATGGGCTTTAAAGCCACAAAATGTGAAGATTGCGCAAGTGTCTGAATACTTTTTATACATTTACTTTTTATATACATCATATACTGTATATTGAATTGATAATTATTTAAGGACTTTTCTGTGAATTAGCAGATTCCAGGTAGTCTGTATATGAATGGATTCATCTCCATTTGAAATTGAATATCACAGCATAGTTATATAAGGGACAAATTTAAGTATTTTTAGGATAGGTTTTGCCTAAACTTATCACTGTCCTCTGTGAATGTAACTGTCATGTTTTGTTGTTAGAAAACAGATTCTCAAAGAGTTCAATTTCGGTTTTTGCCTGCTCAGTGAATATTGAGGCAAATCAATTGTCTTAGAAAATCTTTTTGAGTAGAAAAGATGCTATGGCTTAATCTAAAGACTGAAGTTTGTGTCCCTAATAAATAAAGATACTCAAAATTAATATACTGTATTGTTTTGACCTGGAAGGTTACCTTCTCTTCACGCTAAAGAACCCCAGCTTTTTTAAGTTCCCTGTTACATTATACCATGACATTCACTTTACTTAGCAAATTAACCTTGAAACTCGTTTAATTAAGCAGTTGAACCCTTGTGTTGACAGAACTAAAAGCCTAACAAGGCTCTGTCAAGAACTATAACTCTGACTATTCTGTGCAACTACTTTGAAAGGGTAAATTCTGACAACATTAAAAAGCATATTGAATTTTAAGATAAAGTGTATGGAATATTAACCTTTTAAAATGGAAATAGCATTTTGGATGAATGACGCTTATGAAATGTATTTGCTTCCTATTGGACTGTTCAATTGAATATTTAGATAAAGATACAGATTGTATCTAATACATTTACTCAGTTTTGCAGGTGCTTCACAATATATTTACTAAAGAGACAAAAAAAGAACAACCTTGAGTAATACTGTAAAACTAAGATTCTGAAGAGAGGCTCGTAATCCTTTGCCATGACATATGGTATATAAGAATGGTATTAATCTGGCAAGGTCAAAAAGAAAAAGAAGAATTGTAAGACATAACAAACTGCAGAAATATGATATCCTTTAATATTCCAACTCAATGAACAGATAAGCTTGGACGTTGTGTTAAATCTCAAAAAATCTTATCAGTAAAATAAACCTTTTTATAGTTTTTTATATCTTTTATGTAGTATGAATAGTATTTGCAGATTTGTTCATTTGCAAAGTGTGGAAATAAGTGTAGTTTTATGTGGATTAAATTTATGTTTTTACATGACTATTTTTAAGTATTATATCTTAAAATTAAGATTTATCTGTATGAAAACAATATGTACATGTGTGACCAGTATTTTAGGTAACAACATGCAACATTTAATCGTCTGTAATGTTTCTTATACAGTAGTTTATTACACTGTAATGGTATCACAGTTATGTTACTGGTTTCCTCTCAAGTACACTTGTATGATACAGTAACCAAAAACATTTTAAACTATACTGCCATAATCAATATTCATTGCGTAGAAAGATACTGGGCCTTTATTATTTACTGCATAATTAATGATAACCTTACTCCTCTTTTCTTTTCAGAACGGACACATCTGCTGTTCAGTTGACCCAATGTGCCTTTAGTAGCTGTGGATGCTCTCTAGGTATTTGTACAGAAATGTCCGTAAGAACTGCAATTTCTTGTCCAGACACTCTTTATACCAAATACAAACCTGTATTATACCAAACAGAACTGCCCAACAGACCCTTATATATTCATCAACACAACTCCAGATTACCTTGTACATTAAGGAAAATGTTTGGGTTTCAGACTTTATGCTGCAAAAAGTACTAATATTGGCATGACTGTACTCAGTGTTTACCACTTACAAGTTTTGTAATTAAGTAATGGCTGAAAGATTATGGCATCCACAATAGTAAAGAAATTTGTGTTTCATTTCCTACAAGTAAAAACATTTATATTTTATTGTTCAGTAGCAATGTTAATTTCTTGATTAATTTATTTAATGGCTTGTTATTGTGTAAAAGTGAAATAAACATTTTCATTAACAAATTTAGCCTATTTTCTCTTTTATTTAAGTCCTAATCAGCATCACATCTAAAATCTGTCTTACTTTCGCTGATAGTCCAGTAGTTTTGACAAGGTACTCAAAAGACTTGCAAAAGTAAATGCAGATTTATTGTTTTTCTAAGCACAGGTATGAGCACAAGGGGTATTTAGGATGGATGACAAGCTCAAAAAGCACAAGTTAAAGGATAAAATATTTGGAAATAATAAAAAATTTCAGTTATGTGCTGACAGCCCTACATAGTGGTATTGCCTCCGGATACCTGGAAGCGTAATCCACAATCACGAGGAAATATTCGTGTCCCCAAGCAGATTTAGGAAGGGGACCTACTATATCCATGGGGAGGTGAACGAAGGGCTCGTCAATGACAGGCAGGGGTTGTAATGGTCCTCGGAACTGCGGTTTTGGGGTGCTTAGCGAACAGTCAGGGCAAGACGTAGAAAAGCGCCAAACATCAGTGTATACTCTGGGCCAGAAGAACCTTTTCAGGACTCGCTCCCGGGTTTCGTCTACGCCTAGATGTGCTCCCAGCAGATGTGTCTTCGCCAGGTAGAGGACAAGCCAGCGGTGTTTCGAGGGGATGAGAAGACGCTCCTGATTGGGACCATTGCATTGGTATACCAGGTCATTCTTTATAATAAAAGAATCCGGGCATCCCTGACGAGCCTCCACCAGATGTCCTTTCAATTTGATCGCCTGGGCTCGGGCATGGGTCAGAGTAGGGTCCTCAGCTTGGTCTCGAGGGAAGTCTGCTGCGAGGATGCCTATCTCCCAGTTGTCAAGGGGGTCTCTTTCTGTCGTAGACTCCCCGGCTTGCTTAGATCTGGGGGGCGAAGACAGGGAGGTAGACGCATTCAGTCTAGTTTGGGTAGCGCCCCCTTTTCTTTTGCACTTTCCCAAGGCACAAATGCCTACGTCTGGCTTGGAGTTTTGTTGGAGCTCCTGTTTCTTTGCCGAGTTGCAGTTCGCTCTAGAGCTGGTTCCAGAATACAGCTCGCTGAACGGAGGAAAATTTCTTCCAAGAATAAGAGGGTGTGGCAGCCCCTGTACTACAGCAGCTGTTATAACTACCGTCCGCCCTCTAAAACTGAGCCATAGGCGGGCTACTGAGTGTTTTTGTTGTTCCCCATAAATGCAGCCCACGGTGATTTTGTGGTGTTTTTAGACCTGGTGTGGTCAGGCTACATCAGGGGTCACCAAACAGAGAGCACTCCCGGAATCGACGAGGGCTAGGAGGGGTTGTCCATTTAACAGGATGGGTTCCACCAGAGGATTCGTATGCGAATTACGGGGGGAGTGGACAATGTTGCAGTCCATTTTTCCATCTTCAGCAAGACACTGATCGGACCCCTGTCCTTCTGCAGCACATTGGGTGCAGCAAGATAACTCCTGAATTCTCCTGTGGCCTGGTCTACGAGGGTTGAGTGCACCTTGATTTTGAGGTGGACCCCGCGGTAAGTTTCTGTTGACTTCCCCTCCTGTTGTGTACCTGCACTGGTGGTGTCATCGTCCCACCCTGCAAGATTGGCCGCAGCTTGGTGTCTCTTAAGGGTGGCCATGAAATCGTCCACTGTCTGTGGATCATGCTGTGCCACTGAACATCGCAGCTCAGGGGGCAATTGCTGCAGGTACACGTCTAGCACAACCCGCCCAACTGACTCTGAGTCAAGCCATTTTTTGACCAGATATATTGAGTCGTACATCTTAGAGTGGACGGAAACTTGGGGGTCATAGCACTACTGATGGAGCCGTCGTGCTCGGACTCGAGTCATGACCCCTTCCCGGGTGAGGATTTCCACCTTCAGGCGGGTATAGTCCGAGGTGGACACACTGACCAGGTCGTAATACGCCTTCTGGACCTCCCCACACAGAAAGGGAGCCACAATGCTGGCCCATAGGTTGCTGTCCCATTGCAGGCGCGCTGCTGTCCACTCAAAGGCTCTCAGGTAAGCTTCCACATTGTATTCAGGTGTCATCTTCTGCAGAACGTGACTGGGCTGGACCTGAGCTGGTTTCGGTGACGCGGGCGTGGGTGTGGGTGAGGTGGGCAAAATCTGAATTTTTTGCCATCTGCCGGAACAGGTCCTGTAAAGCAGTTACTTGTTCCTGCAGACATCTGGTTTGGGCAGATGCTGACTCCTGGACGGAGGAGTTCTGTCTTTGGAGGGTGCCCTGGGTTAGTTGCTGTAACTCGTTGATTTCGCATCGCACCATTATAGAGGCAGTGAGGGCTCGGTTTGCCTCTCCCATAAGGGTTAGACAATCGGCCATGGTGACCACAAAATCAGGCAGCCCCACGTTGGGTGCCAAGTGTGATATTGTCGGATCTGATAGGGTGCTGCTTGAGCACCGGCAGAGTGCTTTTGTGCGGTGTGCCGGTGTATAGTCATCTTTGGAGGTGACTGTTTTACGTTATACGAGAGAATACTCGACAAACGAAGAGAATAAGTCCTCTTGTAAATAGAGCACTCGGTTCAGTAGCTTGCTCGTGAACCCACTCAGTTCTCAGCCTGAACACCATCTGCGGGCGCTTGGGGATCTTAAAGCGCAGCCCTAAATAGCCTCCGGTGTGGTAGTTGCACATTCCCACTCGCCGCGAAGTGGGGAGTGCAGTGGGAGGTGTGTTCCACTGTCACAACTGTAATACTGAAAACCTCTTCATCTCTCATAGCATTATTATAAACTATATCACTTACCATACTAGGCAAATAATTTACTAGCAATAATTGCTTGATTTAATTGTTAGTAATAACTATCAGTTGTAAATCCATTTGTAAAGAAGAACAAACTTTTCATGTTTAGAATACAATCAAATAAATAAAAATCAAGGGAAAAACAAAACATACTATAGATTAATGATTTGCTTTCGCCAAAAATCAGTACTTACAAGTGGATATTTTTTAATTCAACAGAGCAGTAGGTAAAGATCTGAAATGAAGTCATACAAATTGAATATGGAACTAATGGACTAATGAACATGGAAATAATTTCACTTTTGTCCTTAAGGGGAGCAGAGGTCAAATAATTTTCTGGAACTGCCCAGATGCTTACATTTTTTACGCATTACAAATGAACAATTTCATTAAGCTCTTTGGTATACGTACAGTATATTATATTAAACAGAGTAATGCATACCATATCACAAAAGAAGCTCTAGGAAAGGAATTAAAGACAAAACTGGGTGCACTCACTCCACCACAGAATAAACTGGGCCTGGGTTAATGGTGATAAGAGAATACGAAAAGACTTAATATTGAGTATTAGAAAAAAAAATTGAGGATAGATTCTTTCTAACTCAGTAACATATGGGAAGTATGATAAAATATAGAAGATAATGAAAAGTACATGTTCAAAATCTGAAGTACAAAATCCATTCCAGGTTGAATAGTGATGTAGTATCTCCATGCAAATCGAAGAGAAAGCAAAATTCGAATCTGCAGAAACATTTATTGTATGAAATTAAACAGAGGTGCACTGTGGCCTCTGCCATAAACTATGAGGTACCGTTTAGGCCATTATTCAAACATTACCTCTCATACACAAAATGCTCTCACACTCTCCATTTTACCTCTCACATTCATATAAAATGCTCTCACACTCTCCATTTTACCTCTCACATACACAGAAAATGCTCTCACATTCACTAGTTTAACCTCTCACATACATATAAAATCAGATTATTAACTAACCTATCATGATCACGTAATCAAGTAACCTAACTTGGATTTAGATCACCATAACATACAATCCAATATGCAAATCTCCCAACAAAATGGCACCACATAATGGCATCACATAATGTAAGCTTCTCTACTGATGCTAATGTTACCTTGCTAGTATGAAAATTACAGTCCATATAAAGATGTTAATTACCTTTTTCTCCCAAAGTTTCTTTGGGTTTCGTATCTTACAGACTGTCTCCGAGCTGATACTGGTGCAAAGTTCCCGTCCCAGCTTTGGCCCCTCCACCATTACATCGAAATAAAGTACTTATTTCGATTTCGGTAGTTTCATGTTGCATTGATGGAAGAACACTCATTGCAGACGTCATAGCCGACAACAATGAAGCTGTTGTTTCTGGTGTGGCTAAGATGTTATTAATTAAAACTATGGCTTGGATTATTGCTTGTTGTGGTTGAGGTTGGTTTCTTTTCTCCATCATGGAGCGCAGCAGAAAATGAGAAAGTTTGTTGATAAATTTTCTCAGCCAATCACATTGTGCCATTTAGACGGACCGCCTACATTGGGCCATAATTCACCTCTCACACACGTAAAATGCTTTCACACACTCCATTTTTTCCTCTCGCATACACACACAAAACCCTCTTACATTAATTAGTTTTACCTCTCATATACACATAAAATGCACTCACCTTCACTAGTTTTGTCTCTTACATTCAGATTGTGAAGGAGTGTTTTATGTGTATGTGCAAGGTAAAACTAGTGAATGTGCAAGCATTTTGTGTGTATGTGAGAGGTAAAACTAGTAAATGTGAGAGCTTTTTGTGTGTACAGTATGTCATCTGCAACAAAATCAAATTTTTCAGTTAACAGTTGGAAACTAATTGCACTGTACGATAGATACAATGGAACTGAAGTGTTTCGAATAAGCCTTGAGTCTTAGATTAAATGGTATTGTACTCATAAGCACCAAGTCAAAACTGGCATTGACAGTATTACATTGCATATAAATCAGAAGACACTTATTTAAGTAACTTAACTAGACAATTATATAGGATAACAGATGAAGTATTTCTGAATTAGAGTATAACTGAAAATAATTAGAATCTCCTTACCAGTACAGCTCTTTTTAATAGTTATAATAATATAATAACAATATTTCTGATTTCATCTTGTGACATTTCCAGCCGCCAGTTCTCAACAGACTATTCGCTTCACTGAGGTTCATTGAACACCTAATTTAATATGT